AACTCTTGCTCTAAATTTACTACATAACTTCCATTATTTTTATTAACCCATATTATTTCTAATCATCAAACCTATAAACATAATTTAATTTTTGTATATTCCACAAAAAGTCCATTTTTTTTCAATTAACACTAAAATTACCAATGTCTTATCTCAAATCAAAACTTTCAATTTTGCCATCTTGGCCAACTCTATCAACCTCACAAACCATTATTTCACTATAGATAATATCTTTTCTTTCCACCTCTGCATTTAAAAATCTCGCTGGTATTACATATAGAAAATAAAATTAAAAATAGTATCATATCCTTCCACCTTTATACATATAAAAACTTTGCTGCTATTGTCATATATAAGAACAAAAATTCCATAGATTTAATAATAAATATATCCTAACCTTAATGAACTTTATACCAAAATCCTTAAAACATTGTCATTCAGTCCTGGTCACAAAAACAAATCCCATTAATAACTACCGAGAGCCTCAACTTATATGTTAACCGTAGTCCAATAAATTAACTTTGCAAATCTTCTGTTTACTTTTAAAAAGCTTCAATTTTAGTCCTTTCTTACAATGTCCCACCAATTGGTTCCCCATCATCTTCTTGTCTTCTCCCAGAAACTTCTCCAATATTTTCTCTTCATCTCTTCTCAGGAACAGCCTCAGTGATGCAATATATTCCTTTTGCAAATCCAAAGTAAAAAATCTTTCCAGATCACTCTTTTCCATTATTTGTATGTCCCCTTTGAACATTTTAACATTAGTTGGTTCCATTTGTAATTCCATTCTGACATCTTTTTCCATATTCATCCCTTGGCCATCTTAAGTCCATATTTAAATCCACAATTTCTTTATTCATATCACCTTCATAATCCAACTTTTTTGAGTTCCACTTCTGCATTTTGTTCAGTCTCCACCTTTTTTCCAGATTTAATAATCCACTTTTTCCTCTATCTTTTTTTCAAGGGACTTAAATCTAGCTCCTAGCTCATCAAACGTTGACTGGAGTAGACTTAAAGGGATTATTTTATCTTCTAACAGCTGCTCCAAGAGGCCTCTTTTAGCTGTTTCTTCTTTTTTCTTTCCGTTTAACTATATCTGGTTATACATTTTACTTGTTTAATTACAAGCAAAAGTAAACTTCATGCCCCTAGGGCCTTTCAAGCTGAAATTGCAGGCGCATGTGCTCACTTCAAAGGGACCACACAGGAATCAAGTTACAGTCTAGCTCTGTTTCTAAAACCCCACCAATCAGCAGACAGAATTGAACAAAACAAGAAACTTTCCCATAGAAAAGACAAATCTCGCTGCTGCAGATGGAGTTTTGTGAAAAAATAAACTTTTAACAAATCTTCCTTTTTCACTATAAGTAAATTTTAAATCTCTTTTAAATTCTACTTTTCCTCCAGCTTTTTGCAAATTAATCAGTTTAATTTAAAATTCTATTTCTTCATTTAAAAGTCACAAAAATAAGGATAAGCCCCAAGAGATGTACTTACCTGTTGTGAAGGAAAGTCTCTATTAAGCTGAAAAATAGTTGTAAACCAAAGTGTTTAAGAAATGAGAATCAGTCGGCTCTAGTGTCCATGAAGGCTGCACTGCAGCAACAATGGAGATGGTTCCCCCACTTGACTCGAGAGCTGTTCGCAGAGGCTAGTCTCTGCGATTAGCTTTCAAGGAAAGGCTGTCAGGAGACCAAATAGGTCGATTTCCTTGCTTCCTCCTTTGTCCAGAGCAAGTTGGGTGGCCAGCGGTTTCTGCCAGCCACCAATCCAGCTACAGTGTCATCTCTCTCTGTTGTGGAGAGGTGTCTAAGCCACCATGTTCCCACCAAAAGTCCCTCTCCTAAGCAAATACAGTAAATTACAATATAATTCTTAAGTCACTGATCACCTGTTCTGAAGATCTTTAATAGTATTTCCCCAGGTTTGACAAACTTTTTAGCATTTGTTTATTTGCAAGTAGCTACTCTCCTTTCCCTTTCTGTATTTTGTTGTGTTTTAATAAATATCATATTTTGATCTGGACTCAAAACTTGAGTGTGATTTTTTTTATAACATCAATTTTTATAATTTCTTTTCATCTGCCTAATATTCTTGAGTCTAACAAGAAAGAAAGCTACATTCCCTCTCTTTAAGTATACCGATATATATTTCTTCCAGATAGATAATTATCTTGGATTTTCCTCCCTTATCAAAGTTAGCATGAAGAGGAAAGTTATGGCAGAAATGAGATAATCAGAAGCATGCATAACTGGCTTCCTTCACGGAGCACTTGTTGTGTAACATTACTGCCAAAAACCTGATTTTATTACACCTGTTAATGTAGTTCAGTAGATTTCAGATTTTGTATCAACAGGGAATCCTTCTGCATGAAGTTATCTTCTGAGGAACCCTGTCTGTGGCAAGTAATACTGGGTCTTATAGA